TGTGTATTCCTCCTTACTATAGAGTGCCACGCCCCCACCTTTCGTTCCTGTCGTGTCCCTCCTGTACAGCCTGTAGCCCTTGAATGTTCATGAGTATAAAATATAGTTCATTTTTTTTTCTTTTTAATGACTCAATATTATTACATCAGGGTCTAATAAGTACAGCAAATTCTCGACCTTTCTCCGATTTTTTTGTAGAAAGCCCTGGGCTGCACAGTAACAACCCTTTCAAACGGATTTTTATTCCACTTGATTAAAGTTGTACAGTTTCAAGTTCAATCAGCTGAAAGGCAGTGTATTCTCTCATCTATGGTTACCCATATGTAAAACAGCAAATAGTAGCCTTTGAAAGTACCTGACTTTTCAATGAAAATAACAAATCTAGAGCCACACTGCTACTCCTAACTAAATATCAGTGTTCACTCATATTACAGTCTAGTAAGTGCTTTCTTTGGAATGTTCACAGGATACAATGAGATAAATATATCTTCATAAGAAGTAATTGCAAAGTGGTTGTTTCCTTAAGATTGACAGTACTCTTTCCATTTATCTTGAATAATATATTGAATCAGAAAATGTCTGAAGTTCATGTTTTGTGGTAAGGGCCAAATTCTTACTTTAGTTATGAATGGACCGATCAATTGGAATACTTGTTCAAAGAAAGTGAGTCGAATCATTCTTGCGATCATTCCATCAAATTTAGGTGTACATTTGACTGTCTTCGGAATTACTAGTTAGTAAGCATATTGCTGTAATATCTAGGTGTTGATTTACACTGACATATCCCAAAATAATTATGTAAGATCATAATTATAGCACAAATTTATTTCTAGGGAAGGAATACAATGCTTAGAAATGTTTTCAAAATGATGGTCAGGTCTCATTTACAGTCTGCTATGAGACCTTCAGGAGTATAGAATTCACTTCCAACATGTTTAGAGATAAATTCATTCACAGATGATTGATCTAAAGAAAGTTTAAACTGAAACATTATCCTCTTTTTTCCCCAATTGTTTAAATAAATTCGGATCCTGATACTATAAAGGATATGTTTGCTGTTTATTTTCCTTATGTCTGGTGTACGGTTCGCAAGTAGAAATTCTGTAGGTTCAGACTTTCCTAACAAAATTAAGAAGTTAGTTTCCTTATTGAGCCCATCCATATTTAGATTGATTATACAAAACTTCTGTAGTCCTTAAACCACCCCCTTTTTTTGCTTAATTCATTGGCGTTTCTCACCCTTTTGCCAGCACTGGCTATATGAGTCTGTCCTTCATTCATTAGAGTGGCACAGGACATGTGTGTTTTTATGCTCTGTGATAGACATTTTGAGATAGTGGTTCAACTTGACCATATGCAAGGTTTGTGTTTTTTTCCCCACTCTGCTTATTCAAAGTCATTTTGTTATGCAAATCTACAGTATTTTATCAATCTACAGTATTTTACAGTGGTAGCCTGAAGTATTGCAGTGTTGCTGCTGTAATATTTTTATAACAACTGCATAATAGCAATTTTCAAACTTTCCATTGTGCAGACCATGCTTTTAAAGCATTCAGTCTCATGGTTCATTTCCCCTCCCATTTATGTCAACATAATGTCATCTTGATATAGCAACTGTTTACAGGGCAAAGTTGCATTTGGAAGCTATTTTAATATTTAGCTGTCTTTAATGCAGTAAAGAGAGCCATGTTGGTCTGAAGTTAAATAGAAGACAGGGTAGGGTGGCACCTCAAAGCTCCTATATACATGCAGGGAGACTGCTTCGATGCTCTGGAAATCCAGCGCATCAGAGCAGATTCTATTAATCAGATCTCCTGGAACACAGAAATTGATGTGCTCTGGCAGCCTCGTGCATCATGTTTGTCAGCATCGCCACACATTTCTGTGCTAGCAAAATGGTGTTGGGGCTCTTTTAAATAAAACACATCCAATGAGCTTTAGTTCAAAGTGCCCCGCTGCCATTTTTTCAGCACAGGGCTGCATGGCAATGCTAATACACGTAATGCACAAGGCTGCTGGAGCATGTCAATTTCCGTGCTCCAGCAGACTCAGTTAATTGAGTCTGCTTGGACACACTGGATTTCCAGCATATTAGAGCAGGCTCCCTGCATGTGTCTAGGAGCCCTGAGGTGCCACCCTGCCCTGTCTTCTGTTTAACTTTAGACTAACAATGCTTAACTTCAGACCAACATGGCTAACTACCTCTCTTTACTGTATTAAAGACAGTTAAATATTAAAATAACTTCCAAATGCAACTCTTCTCTGTAAGCAGTTGCCATATCAAGATGACATTATGTTGATGTGAACGGCTTCAGTAATTAAAGCACCTGGCACCACTTCTGGGAGCACATGTAAAAATGCCCTCAGAGTCTAACTTTTTCAGAAAGACAAACTTTCGTAGCCAACAACCTACTTTGTCAGATGCTGAAGAAGTAGATTCTTGCCTATGAAAGCTTACATGTTTCTGAACGAGTTAGTCTCAAGGTGCCATCCTGCCCTGCCTTCTTCCTTAATGTATTTTTTTTCTCTTTTTAAGCTAATCACACTTTTAGCCTTCATTTTTTCTCCCCCTCCCAACTGTTCTGTTGTTTTCTTTGGGGTCTCCTTGTGGTTTGCTCCTGCTGTGTTCTTTTTCTTTCTCTTCTCTTCTATGGGCTTCCATGATACTTAACTCCCTTCTGTCTTGCTTCACTCATTTGCAGTCATTGGTCCTTTGGATACTTCTCTCCCACTGTTGTCTTTACAACCAGTGGAAGCCATCCATTTGGATGCTTAGCATCGAAGTTGCATCTATCCCTCACCAAGAAAATGTACCTTCCAAATAGAACCAGTAAAAAGCAATATGAACATATGAATTGATTTTAAAGAATACAGTTGGTCTGTCTAGTGGGCTATACTGTCTTTTCCAATGAACAAATTGGGTATCCTGTCTTTTCCAATGAACAGACAGGAGACCTAAGTAACACTTGGCTGTGTAAGTGGGAATACTCGCAGAGTAATAGCCAACTCTATGTAACAAAGGACCATAACATTGTTTTGTATTGCTGCCCTGGGTTCTAAATTCTAATCCAATTCTAAATTAATCATGCTTGATTTTAAGGAGGAGGCACAGTTTGTTCCACAGCATTTAAAACTATTATTCAGTAGGCCTGTGCAAAGCAGCTAAAATTCACTTTGGATTCAGCTGATTTGGGAGACCAGTGATTCAATTCGGTGTTTCGAATCACTGTCCCAATTTGATTTGGTGAATCTCTGAATCAGCTAAGCCAGGCCCATCCCCCACCCCCTCCCAGCCCAGCCATGGCTGCTCCACGTGCCCCAGCTCCCGGCCCTGCTGCTCCTCACAGCATGGGGCAGTGAGGAGCAGCAGGGATTGCCCCCCCCGCCCAGAAGCACCTGGTGAGCACCAGGGCTTTTCTTTAAAGTACCAAGCTGGGGCGGGCAGGGGGCAACCAAGAGGTGGCTGGGGGAGTAGGGAAGGGAGGGGTCGGGAGCTGGCAGGGGTCCCTCCATGGTCCCCTCCCCAGCCCCCCCTCTCCTACCCCTAGTACTTACCAGCTCAGAGTCAGCTGCAGCTCCCTGCTGCAGCCACCGGGGACTGCCTGAATAATCAAAGCTCTCTGAATCTTCGCTTTGAATCAATTCAGACCTTTAAATTGGTCCCCTGATTCGATTTGTATTCTGAGATTTGGCTACGGAATCAGACCGAATCTCCTCTGAATCGAATCACCACCCAAAGCTTTGCCTAGCTCTATCAGTAAGATCTTAAACTGACCTAACTATATAAAATTTTATGTTGAAGTGTGTGCAGCTCTATATTACTTCACTTCTTTAATAGGTTACTCTAATATGCCTTATTTAAAAATACAAAATTTAAGGGAATAAAATTCCACCTTGTGATGAAAGTGTTTAAATTTTATTTGGAACAATTGTTCTGCTTGA